CTTGATCCCCCTGGGTCGCCGTTGTATTCCCGCGTATTCGTATCGCTTGTATACATCTATATATATATATACATATATATAGATCGAAGGATTCATGCATATCAGTGTCGTAAATTAGGCTTGTATATGTATGTATATATACATATATGATTATATATACACAGATGCATATATATGGTATGAACCTGGGCGCCGTCGCGTCGGCCTGCCTGCGCGTGTACGCGACCCTAACGTGTCATTGGGCAGATAAAAGTACATGCGGTACCTCAGCGCTGGCAGTTCCCACTTTATTCTTGTGCGGCCACTTCGAAGTTGTTTCGCGCCGGTCTTTGATGATCTCTGCCCTGCAGCGCGCGCTCGAATGACCTTGGTCGCCCACGTCACCCGTCATTCGTAGTTACTTTCCGTAACCTGTTAGTCGCAGTCTGTAAATTAATATTATTATGATTAGTAGTAGTAGTGGTAAGTCGCCGTAGTAGTCGTAGTAGTGGTAGTAGTAGTGGTAGTCGTCGTGGTAGTAGTAGTAGTAGTAGTAGTAGTAGTAGTAGTAGTGGTAGTAGTAGTAGTAGTCGTAGTAAAAGTAGTAGTCGTAGTAGTAATAGTAGTAGTAGTCGTAGTAGTAGTAATAGTAGTAGTAGTAGTAGTAGTCGTAGAAGAAGAAGAAGTAGTAGTAGTAGTAGTCGTAGTAGTAGTAGTAGTAGTAGTAGTAGTCGCAGTAATAGTAGGGTAATAGTGGAAGTAGCGGTAGCAGTAGTAGTAGTAGTAGTCGTCGTAGTAGTAGTGGTAGTAGTAGTAGTAGTAGTAGTAGTAGTAGCCGTAGTAGTCGTAGTCGTAATCGTAGTCGTAGTCGTAGTCGTCGTAGTAGTAATAGTAGTAGTCGTAGTAGTAGTCGTAGTAGTAATAGTAGTAGTCGTAGTAGTAGTAGTAGTAGCAGTAGAAGTAGTAGTAGTAGTAGTAGTAGTAGTAGTAGTAGTAGTCGTAGTAGTAGTAGTAGTAGTAGTAGTAGTAGTAGTAGTAGTCATAGTAGTAGTAGTAGTAGTAGTAGTAGTAGAAGAAGTAGTCGTCGTAGTGGTAGTAGTGGCAGTCGCAGTAGAAATGGTAATATTTATAGTAGTGGTCGTAATCGTAGTCGTGGTCGTAGTCGTAGTAGTAGTAGTATTAGTAGCAGTAGTCGTAGTCGTAGTCGTAGTCGTCGTAGTAGTAGTAGTAGTAGTAGTAGTAGTAGTAGTAGTAGTAGTGGTAGTAGTAGTAGTAGTAGTAGTAGGAGTAGTGGTCGTAGTAGTGGTAGTAGTAGTAGTAGTAGTAGTAGTAGGAGTAGTAGTAGTAGTAGTAGTAGTAGTAGTAGTCGAAGTCGTAGTAGCAGCCGTAGTAGTAGTAGTAGTAGTAGTAGTAGTAGTCGTCGTCGTCGACGAAGTAGTATTAGTAGTAGTAGTTAGTAGTAGTAGTGTAGTATAGTAGTAGTAGTAGTAGGGTAGTAGTGGTAGTAGCAGTATTAGTAGTAGCAGGAGTAGTAATGGTGGTAGGAAGGAGTAGTAGCAGTAGGAGTAGTAGTTAGTAGTAGTTAGTAGTATTAGTAAGCCGTGTAGTAGTAGTGTAGGTAGTAGTTAGTGTGTAGGTAGTAGTAGTAATAGTAGTAGTTAGTAGTTGGTAGTAGTAGTATTTTTTAGTAGTTGGTTGTTAGTAGTAGTTAGTAGTAGTTAGTAGTAGTAGCAGCAGATAGTAGTAGTATGTAGTTTAGTATTAGTAGTAGTACGGAGTCGTCGTAGTATTTCTTGTAGTAGTAAGAGTTGGTAGTAGTAGTAGTAGTAGTAGTAGTAGTAGTTAGTAGTAGTAGTAGTAGTGGTAGTAGTAGTAAGTAGTAGTAGTAGTAGTCGCCGGAGGATTCGTATTTATGTAGTATGTAGTAGTAGTAGTAGCATGAGTGGTGGTAAGTAGTAGTAGTAGTAGTGTAGTGGTAGTAGCAATAGTAGTAGTAGTAGTCAGTAGTACTAGTAGTAGTAGTAGTAGTGTAGTAGTAGTAGTAGTAGTAGTAGTAGTAGTGGCAGTAGTAGTAGCAGTCGTAGTAGTAGAAGTAGTGGTAGTAGTAGAAGTAGTAGTAATACCAGTAGTAGTAGTAGCAGTAGTAGCAGTACTAGTAGTAGTAGTAGTTGTAGTAGTAGTAGTAGTAGTCGTAGTCGTAGTCGTAGTAGTAGTCGTAGTAGTAGTAGTAGTAGTAGTAGTAGTAGTAGTAGTAGTAGTAGTAGTAGTGGTAGTAGCCGTAGTAGTGGTACAAGTGGTACTAGTAGTAGTAGTCGTAGTAGTAGGAGTCGTAATTTGAGTAGTGCGAATTACTAGTGGTAGCAGTAGTGGTAGTAGTAGTAGTAGTAGCAGTAGGCGTAGTAGTAGCAGTAGTAGTGACAGTTGTAGTGGTAGTACTTGTCGTCGCCGCCGTAGTAGTCGCAGTCGCAGTCGCAGTAAGAGAAGAGGTAGTAGTAGTAGTAGAAGTAGAAGCAGAGGTGGTTGTAGTCGTAGTAATAGTAGTAGTAGTAGTAGGAGTAAGCGTAGTAGTAGTAGTAGTAGTCGTAGTAGTAGTAGTAGTAGTAGTAGCAGTAGTAGTAGTAGTAGTTGTTGTTAGTGGTGTGGAAGTAGTAGTAGTGGTAGTAGTACTAATAGTGGTAGTAGTAGTAGTAGTAGTAGTAGTAGTAGTAGTAGTAGTAGTAGTAGTGGTTGCCGTCGTAGTAGTAGTGGTCGTGGTAGTGGTAGTAGTATTAGTTTTAGTATTAGTATTCGTATTGGTAGTAGTAGTAGTAGTAGTAGTAGTAGTAGTAGTAGTAGGTAGTAGTAGCAGTAGCAGTCGTAGTGGTAGTAGTAGTAGTAGTAGTAGTCGTAGTAGTAGTAGTAGTAGTAGTAGTGTAGTAGTAGTAGCAGCATTAGCAGTGGTAGCAGTAAGCGTCGTAGTGGTAGTAGCAGTAGTCGTAGTAGTAGTAGTAGTCGTCGTCGTCGTCGTCGTAGTAGTAGCAGTCGTAGCAGTAGTAGGCTTAGTAGCTGCAGTAGTAGTAATACTACTACTACTAGTCGTAATGGCAGGTAGCAGGAGCAGCAGCAGCAGTAGTATGTGTAGTATTGGTGGTGGTACCAGTAATAGCAGAAGTAGTCGTCGTATTAGTAGTAGTAGTAGTAGTAGTAGTAGTAGTAGTAGCAGTAGTAGTAGTAGTAGTAGTCGTCGTTGTCGTCGTCGTCCTTTCGGTTGAGCCTAGTAAGTAGCAGCTTCTGTGTCGTAGGTGGTAGGTAATAAGTAACCAGTAGTACGTACTATATAGCAAGTCGCAAGCAGTCAGTAGCAGTGGCAGTGGCAGTAGCTGCAGTAGTAGTACTCGTTTCCGTGGCCGTTGTCGTAGCCGAAGTCGTAGGCTTAGCCGTAGTAGTAGTAGTAGTAGTAGTAGTAGTAGTAGTAGTAGTAGTAGTAGTAGTAGTAGTAGTAGTAGTAGTAGTAGTAGTAGTAGTAGTAGTAGTAGTAGTAGTAGTAGTAGTAGTAGTAGTAGTAGTAGTAGTAGTAGTAGTAGTAGTAGTAGTAGTAGTAGTAGTAGTAGTAGTAGTAGTAGTAGTAGTAGTAGTAGTAGTAGTAGTAGTAGTGGTAGTGGTAGTAGTAGTAGTGGTAGTAGTAGTAGTCGTAGTAGTAGTAGTAGTAGTAGTAGTAGTCGTCGTCGTAGTAGTAGTAGTAGTCGTAGTAGTAGTAGTAGTAGAAGTAGTAGTAGTAGTAGTAGTAGTAGTAGTAGTAGTAGTAGTAGTATCAGACGAGTACTCATATTATTCTCAGTAGTAGTAGCCGTAGTAGTAGTAGTAGTAGTAGTAGTAGTAGTAGCAGTAGTAGTAGCAGTAGTAGTAGTAATGGCACCCGTAGTAGTAGTCGTAGTCGTAGTCGGTGTTCGTAGTCTTTGTCGTAGTCGTAGTCGTAGTCGCCGCAGTAGTAGTAGTAGTAGTAGTAGTAGTAGCAAGAGTTGTTGTGGTCGGTGCAGCAGTAGTAGTAGTCGTCGTAGCAGTAGTAGCAGTAGCAGTAGTAGTAGCAGTATTGGTAAATGTTGTAGTCGTAGCAGTGTATTAGTAGTAGTAGTAATCGTAGCTGTAGCAGCTTTAGTCGTAGTAGTAGTAGTAGTAGTAGTAGTAGTAGTAGTAGTAGTAGTAGTAGTAATACTGATCGTAGTCGTATTATTAGTAGTGGTAGTAGTAGTTGTGTCAGTCGTAGCCGTAGTCGTAGTCGTAGTCGTAGTAGTAGTCGTTATTTATGACATAGTAGTAGTCAGGTCAGGTCAGGTCAGGCAGTCCTCGAAAGCTCCTCGAAAGAAGGCCACCGGGGGGGTGAAGCACAGAGGCTACAGCCCAGAGGCCCAAGTGTGGGCCAGCAGAGAAAAACTCAGAAGGGCGCTAAGCCAAAGGTTTACCGGGTAAAATAATACCTCGAGTCAAAAAACGAAGGATCTAGGCCATAAGCCTCATCCTAATCCTCCACCTCCCCGGCCTAAACGCCGTAGAAGGTCTGGGGAGGGATCCGTAGCCGAGCCTGCGGCGCGTCTGCGGCGGGCGCGGCGGGCGCGGGGGGCCGCCATCACCGCCGCGTCGCCGTCGGGGGGAGGAGGGAACCCACCCCCTCCTATCTACTTCCCACCAACCCCAGAACGAGGTAATGGAGGATGCAGGGGCGCAGCAAATTCGGGCCACACGCACGCTTGACGAGGCCGCTTCAAACGGCGGAACCTCGATTGAGGCGATCCTTAATCGAAAAGCCTTCCCACAATCCCATTCACTCCCACACAGCCCATCCCTCCTCCACGAGAAATCATTTCTGCCGATTCACAAAGAAGAGATCGCCAGCGATAACCAACGGTGCAGGTCCGTCTGGACCGACTCGGGGGGGGGAGGCGGAGGCGGAGGCGGGCTAAACAGGCCCTCGAGCTGAACTGGAACTCGTTTGCGGCGGCTCGATTGGCAGCAATCCTGGCTAACACATCAGGGGGGAGTTCAGGAGGAGGTGGCGGGGGAGGAAGAGGCACTGAACTAGGGGGGCACGCTCCGAAAGCGGCGACAGCGGTCGCTTCTGCACCGAGATGTGCCATCGCGACCGTGTGCGCGCCCTCAATGTCTTCCTCCTCCGAGGGGAAGTTGGCCCTAGCCTCCGTTTCGAGTGAAGCCGAGGTACGAGCTAAAGCCGACGGAGGGCGATGGGGCTTGGCAATGCCTGCAAAATCAGGCCCCATGACTGGGGCATTCAACGCAATATTATTAGAATCAACGAAAAACCTGCGGAGCTCCTGAACCTCGGCCTCCTGACTGGCCTGGCCCGAGGAGGGAGGGGAGCAAAGCTTTGAGCATGGAGGAAGCGAGGACCTGGCACAGGGCGGGTGGGTAAACCTTCTTGGGCGCGGTCCGCCACCTCTTTAGGATGCTGTCCCACCCAACCATAGTTTCGTGGGCTCTGGGCCCATGGGGACAATAGCCACCCCCTGGGGTGTCACGCAACAAGGTGGGGAGCTCAGGCAGTCTAATTACTAACAGGGCAGTGGGGGTTCCCCCGCTTTGACCGAATTCACATTGATCAAGGGTGGTAAAGCTGGAGCACGGGGCCGCCATGAGAGCCTTAAGCGGCATCACACTCCACGAGGGGACTGAACGGGGTTCCCACGACGGGGGGGACGGATGCTCCATCCACGCACACCCTTGCGAAACTGCCATCATGCACATGAGCTCCACCATGGCCTGCAGTAGATCATTGGACACGGCAACCTGCAGCTGCTGTCGCGGCGTGAGCTCTGTCACGCCCCACGGAGCATGCCAACTCCTGAGTGGAGGGGGGGGCCCCTTCTCTCCACCGAGCTGCGCAAAACGTTACACAGGGGGGCCCCCCTCCCAGGGCGACAATACGCCCTGCTCTGATATGAGCGGCAAAGCAGTCAATAGAACTCCTTTTGCGCAGATCGCCCAGTTCTTTGCCCAGCAGGATGTCTACAGACAGTACAGCTAGTTCAAACGAAGGTGTATATCTTGCCATGGCCAATTCAATGGCCTCCTGTACGTCTCCAGGCCTGCGCTGCCCACAAAACAGGTTGGCGACGAAAACCTGTCGGCGCAAAATGCGCCTCGGGATTTGGACGCACCAAACTTCAGAAAACGCCGAGGCCTCAAACGGCCACTCGATTTCGGACGGGTTGGGATCCCACGCAACCTCACGCTCCTCCAAAACATGGGGCACAAGAGATCGCCTGGACCACCCAGTGATCTGCCCGACTTGGTCGGCAATGAACTTTTGAGCCGCTGCCCGAGGATAATTTGCCTGAACGGCAACGGCCGTCAGTGGCAGTGGACCCGGCGCCCTGAAAGACGGAAACCGACCTCTCGAGGCCGAATGCCCCAGGCGACGCCGCTCCTGATTTTGGGCCCTCTCCTCAGCAGCGAGCTCATCGCGTGCCTGCTGTGGCAACGGCGCAACATGCTTGAGATAGTACACAAGACATGTGGGCTTCCATGCTGCGATGTGTCTCAACAATAAAGCTCGACTGGCGCACGCTTTTAAACGACACGCACACCACGGCGAGTCAACGCGCGAACGCGCGAGGTCAGTGCAAGTAAAATGTTCTCGCCTGATGTGCGCGTCTAGCGGGCGCAACTCTGAGACATCACAAGGGCAAGAATGACAGCGGCATGTGTCAGAAGCCCGAGGGGGAGGGAGGTCACGACGAGGAGGTAAACCACCCGCTGTCAGCATTGCCAATGTGCGCTGCTGCCACTCCGTGGCCTGCACATCTCGTTACAATCTCGAAACTGAAGCCTGGGGGGCAGCTCGCAGAGATCTTTTCCATCCTCCAGGCGACTTGCGAATCTCATCCAGCCACGGGTCCATGCCCGCACTCGGGAGATCAAATTCCTTAAATCTATGATGCGCCGCTCGCAGCCACGTTAAATCGTCACGAATGGTATGAAGCCAGGACTTGGGTGAGTAAGCGAATTCCGCATTGACCAAAGCGAGGAGAGGCCGAGGGGCCGAAACCGACATCTGGCCGAAGAGTCGCAACCTGGACGCCCGGATGATCGAACTGACGGTCGGTCGAGCCGCTCTGGCCAATACAGCGAGATCAGTTGGTCCACCTGCTTCAAACCTAGGCAAACTAAGGAGCCCACGATATCGTCGGACGTACTGAGTCTGCACTCTGAGCGTCTCCGCCTAGGTCATTTCATACCAAGTGCCTGCCGAATACATCGCAGCGCTGACTGACAACGCGTCGAGCAGGTGTAGTTTGGGGGGCATGTCCTTGCCCGGGGCCTTAGCAACAGCACGGCGCAAGGCACGCGTGGCCCCTGACGCTTCACGGTCCCGATAAGCCAACTCAGGGCCCAACGACGCCTTATCATCGAGCATACTACCAAGATAAAGCGTAGACCTAACAACAGACACAGACTCCCCCCCACAAACTAACCCTGGTACCTGTATGGATGGGGAAGGCTCACGAAAAAGCTCCCGCCTGAAGTCGGCGGCTCCACTTCCTCGGACATCCAGAAGCAATTCTGTTTTACCGACCTTCATGTGGGGAACTAACCCTACTGGGGCGAAGGCGTTAAGCACAATGCGGCAGAAGGAAGGCAAGGCAGGCAAGAAGACTTCAAAAGGTGCCATTAACGCAAAACCCGAATCATCAGCGTAGACAAGGCCTGGAATGTCTACCTTGTCGTCAGATGCGAGAGGAGAGTAGAGGCCCGAGGTGGGGGATTCAACCTGAAGCAGAATACCCTCTTCCTGGAGCATCCTAGACACATTAGCCGTAACCTCCGCAGTGATGAAAATGAAAACCGCGCCCCCAAAAGGGGTGCCAGGGCGTGCGCCGCGAAAAGTGATCGCCACACGCTCGGCCCCAGGGACCTGAAACCAGCCGAGGCGAAATGCTTCCTCAACCATTCCAACGAAGTGATCTGTCAACCCGTGGCGACGAAGAAGCGGCAAGTCAAGAAGCCGCCGCTCAAGCAGAGGCAAATATGCCTCTGGCAGCCCCGCGCTCGCCAACAAATTTCGAAGCGAATCCCTGGAGGTATCGGTGACCAAGACTAGCTCACGGATGGCAGTGTAGAAGGCATTGACCACATCCACGAACAAAAAACCTAAACACATCTTGCGTGCTATCGCTAGCCGCTGCAACACTCGCGCTGCCAAGATAGCCATGGTAGTTCCACGACCTGGGATTGCAGCGTATTGTGTCGATCCCACAGCGTCCTGCACAGCTGGCAGCATACGAGATCTCAAGCACGCATGGTATCTTTTACCGATGTGAGAGGCCACCAGAATGGAACGGGGGGATGATGCAGCAAACGGGTTGCCTTTTTTTTGGGGGATGCGCGGTAGGTCCCCCCCCTTCCACTGAATAGGTTCGCTAACTAACATAGCTGCTTTGAAGACAAGAGGGTAAAACGCTTTCGCCAGCGGGGCCGCACAGGCTCTTACGAAAGAACCATGTAGCCCATCAGGGCCTGCAGCCCCATTGCCCGTGGACCGCAGGGCTTTCTCAAACTCGGCAAACGTGGGGATGTTAGCAATGTCCCTCGACGCACCTTTCAAGTCACCCACCTTGTCATCGCAGATGGCTTCGAAGAGGTCAGGGGGCATCACTGCTGCCAGTTCCTGGGCAGCGAAATGCTGCAGCCAGTGGTCGTGCGCCTGTACGACGGTAGGCAGCAGTTCATCGTCAGGCCCCAGGATGGCCGGCAACACCTTGTGCTGCCGATGTCTTTTTCCCGAGGCTCCCAAGAGCCTAAGGGCCGAAAAGGCCGAGGCAAAGTCACGTGTAGACCACGCGTCTCCCACGGATTTGGCAATGTCCTGAAGCTTCCGACTTGCTTCGCTCCTGATGACATTATGAACTTGCTGCACCTGCGGCATCAACAACCAAAATTGCAACGCAGAGGTGCGCAGAGCAAGAGCCCGTGCCAAACACAAAAGAAAGTGACATGAAACTGCCATCGCTTCTCCTCCATACGGGAGCCCAGGGGATCCTGGGGGAAACATGAGAAACGAAACTGCTGCCATGTCCGCTGAGACCGCCTGCCTGCGATTGCAGGTGTTCTTGCATCGTAGCTTCCACCGTGCAGGCAGCGCGACCCTAACTACCGAGGACACCTGCTTTAGAATACGTCCCGCATCTGCGCATACATTACGCACGTCTCTGGGGGCAAGCCCTGTCATGACTGAATCTTGTCGCACTGCAATGAGCGCTACGATCCTGTTCCTCCAGGCAATGAAGACTCGTGCCATTAAGTCCCGATTGGTTTGCCCGCAGACGAACGCAGTTTCGGCCTCGATACGCCGCTGGCCTCCCGAGGCCAAGTGCGCAAGATGCGGGGCCACGAAATCCGAGGCAGAGCCTGAAAAACGGGAACCAAAACTAAGCGGGATGGCGCACGAATGCCTCCATGCAAGCAGGGCGGGCCTTGACCGCACATGTGCAGCAATACCTCTAATCTGAGACAAAGCTCGCCGCGTCCTATGCAACGAGGCAACTTGCTGGCGAGCATCCCCTGAGAGTCCAGTATCTTTCTGGCTCTGATCTAACTCGAAAAACTTAACCATGCCCTGACGTGCATACCCAGAGACCTGAGCACAGTGCTTGGACGGAGGGACCGCCCAATGTGGCTTAGGGGCATGCTCCATATATTTGGCGAAATCGTACTGAATAGAGGCAGCCGCCAGTTTTGCACGATCCAGTGGCTTCGAGGAAACGATCCCCTGGGAAGGCCTCAAATCGGGAATGGGCATTCTGAAATCTAATTGTACTAGCGCATGATCTGGTCGGGCAATAGCAAGCTCGACAGCTTTATTCACTGTAGGTTCAACTGCAAACGATCGCAACGACATTGGCACAGAGACGAAATCGATCCGTCTCGTGGCCACAAGCCCCTGCGGTGGAGTCCACGTCTTAGAAGCCTGCGGGTCACCAGAGAACGTTGCAGGGAGCATGAATGCACAAGCTTTAATACACTTGTGAAA